CCTTCGTCCTACACTGTGCAAGGGGAAAATGACGCTGTGGAAAACAGGTGCCAACATAGCTTTGTACCACCCCACGATCTCGGGACGGAAGATGTGTAAAGGTCACAGCCCAAAATGTATCTGCCTAGCTTGAAAATTTGTCTCAATAAAAGGAGGCTCCACAGGAATGGCAGTAGCTTGCTTGCTTCAGACCACCTGTGCGCAGCTCACATCATGTTCAACACCTGTCTTGGGCCTTCAAGTCAGAGGAGAATATCAGAGACTTGGGAGAGTGGGCTGGTAAATTAAATTCCACTTTTGGGAGGGGAGGCATACCTTTTGACAAAGTGGCCAGGGGGTGGGGCAGCCATCTCTCCCCCCCTCCCCACCCCATGCAATATCCTCACCTACCATAGTTCCCATTGTCCCACATTTTTGAAAGAAAGGCAGCCAGGCTTCTGAGTACAGCCAATCAGCTGCTTGAAGCTGCAGTTTACTTTTCTTTTAATTAAGAGGGAGAGAGAGAGCTCAGAGGACCCTTGATCATCTTGTCAAAACACAAGCCTCACCCCACCCAAAGTGATGTGACCTTCCCAACCCTGAGATTAATATGACCTTTGGAAAGGTTGTGTGTGTGCATGCGTGCGCAATCACAGAATTGTGGAGTTGGAAGAGGGACCACTTTCAAGCATATCTTTACATCTTCAAGTCCTGGGAATTTGGGGTGTTGTTGCTGAGTGTCACGAGAAGCCAAGTTGTGCACCCAACACTATTTTTTGTGCTCCCCCCCTTTGCGTTCCTGTGGGATCTTACCATCACACACACACACACACACACACACACACAGCCCTGAACTCAGGCAACGTAGAGACTTCAGTGATTTTTAAAATTTCTGTCGGCTTGTCGCTTCTCTGGGCTTCTTTGCAAGGCCAGCTTATGTCAGTAACATGAGCGAGAACAAAAGAGAGGATGCAAATGCAGAAGAGGGAGAGCAAGCCAGAGCTCCCCAGTAGGAAAGACAGATTATAAGTTCCAATGGTGACTGTTGCATGTGGGGAAAGTTGTGGCCACATACCATGTTAATATCTATGACGTGCCACAACTGTCTCCACCCGCTTCAAGTTTTCTTTTGAGCCTTGGTCGCAACTAGGGCCAGGGCCTTTTCAGTACTGGCCCCGACTTGGTGGGACGCTCTGTCACAAGAGACTAGGGCCCTGCGGGACTTGACATCTTTCCTGCCTGGCCTTTGGTTTGGACTCAGTCTGACCCTTATGTTTCCCTCCCCTTATGGTTTTTGATTTATGGGCTGTTATTAAAATGAGGCTGCATTTTAAATTGTATTTTTAACCTGTATTTTAAGTTGCCCCCCCCATTATGTTTTTATTGTAATTTTACTGGTGTTAGCCGCCCTGAGCCCAGCTCTGGCTTGAGAGGGCGGGGTATAAAGAAAAATTTATTATTATTATTATTATTAAGTGTGACATGCTCCTTTAGGATTGCATGTGCTTGCTATTTTAAAGACGAATGCACGTTATTGAACTCTTTATTCTCGCCTATTCATGGGGACTCCAAAGTGCAGGCTGTGTCTACAACCTGTTAACGTCCATATTGCCTTGGGTAAAGCATGTCCGTTTTACGAGGTGGGGGGGTGGGAATTATTCAGAAGTGACGAAATGCAATAACAAACCCTACATAAAGCTACTTATTGCTTCATGAAACAAAATGTCACAGTAGTCTCGACAAATTAGTAATTAACTACTGGAGGGGAAATTGGGTGGAAGGATTTTCCATCCTTTGAAATCTTTAAATTGCTGTTTGCGTTCTTCAATTTAAAAAAAAAAGTTTCCACAGCCTGGAAGTTGTGGGGCTGGATGCAGGAATTGCTGCGGATGTTGTTCTGGCCTGTTTAGCACAGAACATCAGATAAAATTGTGTGAATGGCAACTTCCATCCTTTAAACTAAAGAATCTTCAAACTCTGAATATTGCTGCCTTTATTGTTTTGTTTCCTTGGGGAATAAGGGAGGATTTCCCCCCCTTCTCGTAACAGTGCTATTTAATGCTATTGTGTCCCACCCTTCCTCAAACAAACGCAACACAGTGTACAGTGGTACCTCGGGTTAAGTACTTAATTCATTCTGGAGGTCTGTACTTAACCTGAAACTGTTCTTAACCTGAAGCACCACTTTAGCTAATGGGCCTCCCACTGCTGCCACGCCGCTGGAGCACGATTTCTGTTCTCATCCTGAAGCAAAGTTCTTAACCTGAGGTAATATTTCTGGGTTAGTGGAGTCTGTAACCTGAAGCGTATGTAACCTGAAGCGTATGTAACCCGAGGTACCACTGTACATGGCATGTTCTCCCCCCCCCCCAACATCCCACTCCTCACTTACACCCATGACACTCTGTGATGTAAGTTAGCCAGAGAGACCTTGACTGGCCCAAAAGACATCAAGTGAGATTCATGGTCAAAGCTGGGATTTGAACTTGAGTCTCCCCCACTTGACATCTGACACGTTAATCTGTATTCCCTTCTCTCTTAATTGTATTCACCAACAGTGGTGCCTCGCAAGACGAAAAGAATCCGTTCCGCGATTCTCTTCGTCTAGCGGTTTTTTTCATCTTGCGAAGCAACCCTATTAGTGGATTAGCGCTATTAGCGGTTTTAGCGGCTTAGCGGCTATTAAAGGCTTAGCGGCTGAGCTGCTAAAAGGCTATTAGCGGCTTAGAAAAAGGGGGGGGGAGGGGAAAAAAATGGCAAGACTCGCAAGACATTTTCGTCTTGCGAAGCAAGCCCATAGGGAAATTTGTCTTGCGAAGCAACTCAAAAACGGAAAACCCTTTCGTCTAGTGGGTTTTCCGTCTTGCGAGGCATTCGTCTTGCGGGGCACCATTGAATATGGTACTTCAGGTAGTGAGCTCCATAGGTCATAGAATCATGGAACTGTAGAATTGGAAGAGAGTACAAGGGTCATATTGTCTAACCCCCTGCAATGCAGGAAACGTTTGCCCCACATGGGACTCGAACTCATGACTGAGCTATTAGGTCATAATCCCTCTTTTTCTTTGCTGGTATTACTTTATAAAGTGCCATGTACACTTGGAAGCATTGTACACATACTGTATTCTGTTGTTATTATTAGCTGATCTAAATGTTGACTCATTATCAGCTAATAAGACTGATTGGCTACTGTACTTTTTTATATAACTTTGTTTGAAATACATTTGAAAGACTTGAAGAGTTGTGTGTTAATTCTCTCCTCTTCCTGTGCCCTCTGGAGCAGATTTTGAGGGTGTACAGGTAACAACAGTGTTGGACACAACCCAAAGAAACTAAAGAGACTCCAGAGTAGAACTGATACAACAAAAGTTTTGGAATCCATTAATGAGAGCCTACAGTTATTGGGGGTATTTAGATCAAGACTTTGGATTATTAAATGTCTAAAGGAGGGAGATGTCAGCATCTGGATACCAGGCCTACCTGGGAAAACCTCCTCATCAACAATCACCTCTCTGTCTGCATTTGCTCACCTATCTCGTTACCATAGACTCTCATTTATTTTCCCCTCTTGTTATCTTCCCACACCGTTGAAAGGTGCTCAACAGCTCCTTAGAAACAGGCAACTGCCTTTTTTTATTTACCATATTATTTGCTCTATAAGACTCACTTTTTCCCTCCTAAAAAGTAAGGGGAAATGTGTGTGCGTCTTATGGAGCGAATGCAGGCTGCACAGCTATCCCAGAAGCCAGAACAGCAATAGGGATTGCTGCTTTCACTGCGCAGCGATCCCTCTTGCTGTTCTGGCTTCTGAGATTCAGAATATATTTTTTTTCTTGTTTTCCTCCTCCAAAAACTAGGTGCATCTTGTCTTATAGAGCGAAAAATACAGTACTCTGTGAATGGCACTGAAGAAGCAATAATTTGAGGAGGAGAAATGGTTGCAAGCCATTAGCACAGAAACGTCTGGGCTGAAAATAGATAATTTCCTAGGGGAAATTACAAATGTCTGATCCCTAGAAGAATTTAGGAAAAGCGCTTGCATCCAAAGGCATGTGCAATTGCAGAGGGTCTCTGGAGGGCCTCTCTCACTTTCCATGGCTCTCTTCCGAGACCATTGAGAAGGAAGACTGAATTCAGTGCACCCCTGCACTGGAACATACCTAGGCAGGGGTTTAAAGTGTGACTGTGTGTCTGGCTCTTAGCAATTCTGCTCATGGCAGGTATAGTTTAATTCATTTATTAAAGCCTTCATTGAGTCAGAGCCCATCTACCCCTAAATCCTAATGGCAATTTCTCTTTTTCTCTGTAGCCTTTCTTTCATTAGACTCTGGGAGTGCACACATTAAATGTTCAGATTCTAGATAAAGATCTCTAGAGTCCGTCTGTCTGGTGGTGCAGATGATTGGAGAGGGAAAGCGATGACAGCTGCTTGCTTTTGTCTTGCTTATAATCCTTCAGACGTTCAGTTTGTCAATACGATAATTGTGTCGGGTGACATTTTTGCATTATGCTACTTCTCTTCAAAAGAGGGACGCGGGTGGCGCTGTGGGTTAAACCACAGAGCCTAGGACTTGCCGATCGGAAGGTTGGCGGTTCGAATCCCTGCGATGGGGTGAGCTCCCGTTGCTCAGTCCCTGCTCCTGCCAACCTAGCAGTTCGAAAGCACGTCAAAGTGCAAGTAGATAAACAGGTACCGCTCCGGCGGGAAGGTAAACGCCGTTTCCGTGCGCTGCTCTGGTTGCCAGAAGCGGCTTAGTCATGCTGGCCACGTGACCCGGAAGATGTACGCCGGCTCCCTTGGCCAATAAAGCAATATGAGCGCCGCAACCCCAGAGTCGGTCACGACTGGACCTAGTGGTCAGGGGTCCCTTTACCTTTACCTTACTTTTCTTCAAGCAGTTAATGATCGCTTGAGTTGTGTTTTCCTTATCCATGCTTGGGAACCTACCCTTCTTGTGACTCGAGACCTGAAGCAAGATGTGTCGTGGCTGTCTTAACACCCTCTACCTTGTTTTCCGCAGGAGAATTGCTGAGTCAGCCCAGGCCAGAGGGAGTGACTGAGATCATCTGTCCGAAGAACGGTAACGAGCGAGTGAATGTGGCTCTGGTTTACCCCCTACGCCGACAGTGATCAGCCCTTGTTCCAAGTAACTTCTGGAAGACACCTGCCTTTGCCCCCATATAAGGACACACCAAACACCCTTTAATCGAACAAGCCCTTCCTAAGCATTTTTGGAAATGTACAGCCCAGAGATGTTTCTGATTACTGATGGGACCTGGACAACACAGCTTGGGAAATAAAGGTACAGCTATGTTGTTTTCCTTTAGTGAATGGCAAGGTATTTGCAGTGTTGGGTTTTTTAAGGCTAGATTGCTACAGCAAAGCTGAATTTTGGTGGAGGGTGAGTATTTTACAAGGGTTCCTTGTTTTGCTTATTTATTTATGTTGCAGAATTTACACCTTAAAAGCTTCCGTTTGTCTGTGCTTTTGAAATCCACTTGCAACTCCTGTTCTGGGCAAACATCAACCACGGCAGAAAAAAGCCTCACTAAGGAGCGTCTCGCAGTTAGCGGCACATGGTTTATTTTTGCATGAGAACCAGTGCCCACACTGCTCTGCTGACATGTGCATGAAAGAACTATGTCAGTAATACACAGAGCGGACAAGTAGTGTCCAGTTTAGATTTGGGATTAAGCAAGTTGCAGTTCTGCAAACGGTTTCGAAATATCCTCCAAAGCAAACGTAGGTTTGTTTGCTTCAACTGCTCATTTATAATAAATGTTTGTTCATTCCCATAACGTACCAGGACTTATTAAGCTATTAAAGCCATTATTAAATAAATTATGAAGCCATTGTTAAGTAAATAATAAATTTGGTAATTGCCTCACACAGAGCTGTCTCTAGGTGACTTACATTCAGTTTTAACTGTCAATAAGTCCAAAGATCCTACTAGTGTCCTGTGTTTTCGATGCACCAAGCCATAAAATCCTCCTAATAAAATTATCTATGAATTTAAAAAAATAATGTTGCAACTTGATGGTTGATCATTATTCAAATTGCAACATTATGGAATGGCTTTGTGCACATTTAGATTTGAATAAGCTTAAGTAAGGTTGGGTTTTAATAAAATCAACCAATACATTGTCCTGTTATTCTTCAGACAACCTCCGCTGAGATTCACGGTAGATTTGCCTGTCAAATACATTTTGACACTAGCAACCTCGTACCTGGAATTGCTCAGAAATTTTAAGAAAGCAAAAAATCAGTGCAGTTTTGAAAGGTCCAGTCCACAATCTTTATTCAAAATGGTGTCCAATTATATCCAAACAGTCAGAAACATACTCCTTGAGCTCAGAAACCATGATGCAAAATTTGGTTGGCAGTATCTAAAGGCATGTCCAGATGCATAGCAAACAAACAGCTTTCCTAAATACTTTCCTAAAAACCTTCTTGTATGACCAGGCCTCTGTCCTTTAACTGTCTGTGGCCTTCTAGAAGTGGGCGGGATGTTTTTAATGTATTTCTCTTTCCTCTTGGTTTTTTAATGAATCTATGTAGGGTCTGGGACGTGGGTGGCGCTGTGGGTTAAACCACAGAGCCTAGGACTTGCCGATCAGAAGGTCGGCGGTTCGAATCTCCGCGACGGGGTGAGCTCCTGTTGCTCGTTCCCTGCTCCTGCCAACCTAGCAGTTCGAAAGTACGTCAAGTGCAAGTAGATAAATAGGTACCGCTCCTGCGGGAAGGTAAACGGCATTTCCGTGCGCTGCCCTGGTGCGCCAGAAGCAGCTTAGTCATGCTGACCACATGACCCGGAAGCTCCCTCAGCCAATAAAGTGAGATGAGCGCCGCAACCCCAGAGTCGGTCACGACTGGACCTAATGGTCAGGGGTCCCTTTACCCTTTACCTTTATGTAGGGTCTATTATCTATCTGTCTGGTTGTAAGTCGCTTTGGGTTTCCCCGGGCTAGATAAAGCAACAAACAAAGTATTAGATGAAGATGATAGACATGTACAGATGCAAGATAAGTATCTTATGGTACAGAGAAGGTGGATCCTTAGCGCCATGAACCTTGAGACTTTCTGTTTTGTCTTCTTCAAACACGCAGATTAATGGGAGCAGGTGTGCTGAAAGGCTATGCGCTGGGGTGGACACAAATCTGTAGCCTGCCTGAATTGATCCTTACCATCGGCTGGGGTTGGAGTGGTGTGTTTCCAAGAACTTTGTCCAGAGGCTTATTGAAGCAAGAATCACAGCAAAGCATCCTCATCCTGTGCTGCTCTTGGAACTTTTATACACGACAGTCTGAAAACTCTGGGTGGTTTTAATTGCTTCGTAAGCACCAAAACGAGAGCATTGTTGACTGACGGCGATGCGCTGGGATTGAGAACTCTGTGGACCTGTATTGTGCACTTGTTTGGACCCATTGGTGAATGTAAGATTGTTCTCGGTGTGGTCGCTGTTCAGCTGTAGCTGAAAGATATATCTGCTGAAAAGGCACTGTTGGTAACTCGGGTAAGTTTTGACTTTGTCATTGTGTTCCTCGGGGCTTACTCTGGGTTTGCAAGGGCAAGGCACCTGCAGTTTTCTGCAGGGAAGAGACCTGCCATTCTTGCAATGAAAATATCCTTAGTTTCTCTGCTAATTTCTTGATTGCTATTAAAGCAATATGAAAGATGACTTAAGCAGTGGTGGTGTAGCGTGGGTTGCCAGTGCCCGGGGCCACACAGAGTGGGTGGGGGAGGGAGGGAAGTGGACAGAGTATGCATGCACATTCAACTGCCTAATGACACCACCCAGGAAATTACAGCCACAGAGATAAGAAAAGAAGAGTCATTCCCGTTGTCTGGAGAGGTCACTTCCTGGTTCACACGGAGAAGCTGTTTTCATCAGAGCCCAGCAATGGAAGCGCACAGCTGTTCGGAGGCAGCACTGGGTGTTGAAATTTTGCACCCCTAACAATTTTGCGCCCGGGACAACTGTCCCTCTGCCCCCCCATGCCACTGGGTTTAAGGGTTGCACTTTGTTTCCAGGGCACGTTTACATACAACATAAAAAGATCACTTGTTTATTTGAGTGTGTGAGCTCTTGGAGATAATAATTGCAGATAGAAATTGTCATGTTACCATTGTCAACTCTAAACAGTACTTTTCAGTGGAAATAGTCCATTCATGATTTTAACTAAAGAGTCATGTAAGAGTCCAGGTGATAACATTTATTCCTTGGCAAATTCTACAGTTAGGGATAACATTGATTATTATAGTAACTCTTTAAAAGGTAAAGCTACCCCTGCCCGTACAGGCCAGTCTTGACAGACTCTAGGGTTGTGCGCCCATCTCACTCAAGAGGCCGGGGGCCAGCGCTGTCCGGAGATACTTCCGGGTCACGTGGCCAGCGTGACGAAGCTGCTCTGGCAAGCCAGAGCCGCACACGGAAACGCCGTTTACCTTCCCGCTGGTAAGCGGTCCCTATTTATCTACTTGCACCCGGGGGGGCTTTCGAACTGCTAGGTTGGCAGGCGCTGGGACCGAGCAGCGGGAGCGCACCCCGCCGCGGGGATTCGAACCGCCGACCTTTCGATCGGCAAGCCCTAGGCGCTGAGGCTTTTACCCACAGCGCCACCCGCGTCCCCTTAGTAACTCTTTAAGTAGCAGCAAAACAAAAAATCTGTTCCCAAATTAACCTTCCTTAGCAAAATTAAACGATTGTCTTTTGTTTTGATACTGTCATGGCTTGCTGCTGATTACAAATATATTACTGGTTGAGGTAAAAGGGAGAAATGCATAGACATTTCATTCCATAAAACAGCTCAATTTGGGGCACAGTTTGATTAAATTTTTCTCCTTTTTATTTCAAAATAGACAGAAAACCAACATATTGTTGAATGCCACATCCTCCATCTCACAGATTCCAGCATTTTAGTTGTTTAATTGTCCGCCTTCTAATGACCAGGTGCTTAGGTCATCAATTTAATAATAATACTATGTAAAAGGTAGTGCACAAAAATTAAAAACAAAAAGCAAGCCCCGCCCACAAACTTACAATCTAGTACATTTAACTAATTTTGTATACTACTGAAACTTCACTAAGTGCTTTTTGAGATAATGAAGTAAAAAATAAAGTAGAATTCAAGAAGCAAAAGCTATTAAGTGTTGAAAAGAAAGAGCATCCGTATGACAGCAATGCCAAAAGCAAAATGACCTCTGCACAATGTTCCTTATAGGCAGCCCCATCCATTTAAAATGTGCCGCCTCTTTAGCTTAAAATTGCCACCTACTAATTAAAGCATTTGTTGATTAAGTGAGATGGATACAACTTTACAACCCTACATATAATAATTCCTAATTATTATCTGAAAGTTAGACGCTTGCTTTATAACCAGTACAATTGAGGGCGGGGAAATGACTGCGGTGGAGAAAAATTCATTACTGTGTAATGAAATTGCTCACATGAAAGGAAAGCAAAAATGTCAGCTACGTCTACTCAGCCTTTTTGTTCTGCGCTTGTGTGCAGATGCTTATCTGGCTAGTTTAGCTGCAAGCTTAGTTTGTCTTGTTAGCCTGGTATAGGTCTGGGTTCTTCTCAGGCTTGGGGATCAGAAACCTTTGTTGTCTGCAGACAGAAGTGGATCTCTTTTGTCCTCGAGAATAATTTAAATGTTTCGTATATCCTGGCTTGGTTTGTGGGGAGGGCGGTGGAGCTGGCAGGTGAGTTGGGGAGAAAATTCTCACTAATAAATGCTTGACATCAATTCACCGAAACGCAACAAATGCAGATTTCACTGCTTAGTTTTGCTTGTTGAAGAATAACCGTGCCCTTTCTCTAAGCATGTACTTGCACATACTGATGAATCATGTGGTTCTCACCCATAACAATGGCGAAATTGCACCCTGCCCTTCTGCCTTTAAAAAGGTTCTACGGTAGATTAAAGTGCATGTAAAATCACACAAACGTAATCGGCTAAATCCAATCAGATATAAAACCAACACACTAATATCACATAGCAGCAAGAAGAAGAAGAAAGTAATATTTGTATATAAATTGCATCCCTCCTTCCTTCATAAATTATTTGGAACAGAAATACTTACCGTATTTTTTGCTCTCTAAGACTCACTTTTTCCCTCCTAAAAAGTAAGGGGAAATGTGTGCGCGTCTTATGGAGCGAATGCAGGCTGCGCAGCTATCCGAGAAGCCAGAACATCAAGAGGGATCGCTGCTTTTGCTGCACAGCGATCCCTCTTGCTGTTCTGGCTTCTGAGATTCAGAATATTTCCCCCCCCCTTGTTTTCCTCCTCCAAAAACTAGGTGCGTCTTATGGTCTGGTGTGTCTTATAGAGCAAAAAATACAGTACTTAAATTGATTTCCTGAAGCAGAGGGAAATGGGTGACAGGAGAGCAGGGCTGGGAGATCTTTGGCCCACCAGATATTTGCTGAACTGCAACTCCCATTGGTTCCAGCAAGCATGGCAAATGGGCGGGGAAGATGGGAGTTGTAGTTCAGGAACATTTGGAGCACCACAGGCTCCCCATATCTGCCGATACATGACGGTTGGGTGGTCATCTGTCATGTGTGATCTAGTTGAGATTCCTTCATTGCAGGGGGTTGGACTAGATGACCCTCGGGACCCCTTCCAACTCTGCGATCTGGGGAGCAGGAGCGGGGACAAATCTGTATCCCAGTTTGTGAGCTTCAGCTTGCCACAAACTACATGCTTCTTATTCAAGTATCTTCAACTGTATGAACAGTCTTTCCCCTATTAAAAAACACGCTCCTGTCTTCGGTTTAATCTGAAGGGAACAATCTCTTCCTGCACAAATTATGTTTCCTTTTGGTTGCTTTGGAGGCGAATTTGAAGGCTGGCTTCCATCTGCTTGCTGTCTTCAATGTGTTGGAGGCAGCAGGGAGGGAGGGAGTTGAGTAAATCTCAGCAAGGCAGAGTTATAACACCACAAAATCTGGATAAGAAGGTCTGGATCAGGGATCAGCTGGATATTGATTATAAGCTCCTAAAAGCCCCTTGAGCTTCTTTGGAGAAAGGAAAATGCTTGCTATGGAATGTAGGCTAGTTGCTCTGCAGACAAGAAGCGTTCTTCCTTCCTCCTGTTGGTTGGGTTCTGTTTGGCCGTCCTTTAGAGGCCTGGGGAGAAAACGATGACTTCTTCTCTTTTTTGCTGCTTCACTGAGAATAGTCTTTATTGGGCCCTCTGTCAGTTTTGTTCGGAACTTCCTTGAGACAGCAGCTCATCGCCAACAAGACTGCTGAGCTATGTGCAAATTCAGGAAACATTGGTTACCAAGATAGCAGAAACTAGATATGCCAGTGGTTTACTAAAGGACTTGGTCATCCCAGGCCTGGCAGAGAATGCGTTGCTATCTACCAGCAACAAGTGAGTTGCACTCCAGCTACTGATAACCAGCCACAAACAGGCGGAAGAGTATTACAGGGCTTATTTTAAAACTCAAGATCGTCAACCCCACACACACCCTTAGCTGAGACTGCAACTGGGATCTCTGAGAGAACAGTATCTGAGAATGCTAAAAACAAAAAAGTGGCTTTGGAGAGGTGTGTGTGTGTGTGTTTTGAATTGGTTTTACATCTCCTTAACACTGTTTTATAGGAACTGTAGTAGGGGTGTTTGCCGAAGTCTTCCTGGTAACTTCCCAAGTTTTTACAATTGGGGACGTTAGCCTTGTCTGATGGATAGACCCTCTAATTTCTTTGAGTAGTATAATGTAAGAAGTTTTGCTCTTCAAAGGCAATGCTCTGCTTATGACAATCAGAGCCATCTTTCCCATTAGGGCTTAGTGGTGCATTGCGCCAGGGCGCCGGACTCTCAGGGGCGCCCCAGCAAGTGGGGGAGCTGCGTGGCTTTGCCGGCGACCTGCCCTTTCCCTGCACGCCTGCCAGCTGCTCCCCGCCAACCATAAGGGTGGCGGGCGTGCAGCTTCCCTGCCAAGCCTCTGTGAGCATCGCTCTCCTCCCGAGGAGGCTTGGGAGGGGCGCAATTTCACTCCCAAGCCTCTGTGGAGATCACTCTCCCACAGAGACATGGGGGAGAGTTGCACCCCCCCCCATGGCTGGCAGTGCGCAGCTACGGCCACCCCAACACTATCCGTGGTAATTTGGGGGCGCTGGGCTGATATTTGCACCCCGGCCCCACATCTGCTAAAGACAGCCCTGATGACAGTTATGAATATGTGGAATGTTTATGACTTGCTTCTTGTATATAAATTTCCTCTTGTTCTTTCTTTCAGTTTCCCCATAGGAAGAAATTCATAATTCTGTGGCTGTAATGTGCTGTGGAAAAGGACGCAAAATCAAAACTGGAAAATACCTCTTCAGATGGATGCTTTCCCAGGGACTGAGCATATAACTTAACCCCAGAAGTGAAATGGTTTTTAAAGTAATATATTAAGTTGCAGAGGAATTGTGGACTAAAGGATTCATCACTCGACCCTCAGCCTCAGGATCATTCTCTAGCGAGGAGCTGCTTGCCAACAGAGTAGGATGAAAAACTTCTCAGGGATTATGTTCAATGTGCAGTTTAAAAGCCGCAGCTGCCGTTGACGACAGCAGTATCGGGGGCACTCTGTTTCCAAGTCTGTCAAATGTGAAAGAGGTTCACTGCTGAAGTTCACTGCTGTTCAGCAATTTGTTTGTGTCTTTTTTTTAAGTGTTAATCTTTATTTTTCTAAGTTTTTAATTATCTATGCAGTTTAGAATTAATTTGACACTGGGTACAAAGGTCAGCGTGGAGATTGTGCTAAATCAGTTGTGGGGTTCTGGATGTGATGTCAAAACAATGCATGTAGGTCTCTATTGTTTAAACACCTGGTTTGTGCACAGACACACACATCACGCACACACACACACAGATACACACACACAATCTTCAATTTCACTGCAGTTTCATGGTAAAATCCACCTAAATAAACACTAGCACAGATTCTTCTGGGAATACCTCTGCCTCCACAAAACAGTTGAAGCCGTACTTGAAAGAATCAAATGTGATTTTGATTTTTCTCCCTCTTGTGAGTGGAACATGTCAACGTGGTGGAGAAGGGGAAGACAGCTTGAGTTAAACTTTATTTGTGGAGTATCCAGTTGAGTGGTCAGCCCTGAAGTAAGCCAGGAATCCTTCATCCCTAAACAATGCCAAGAATAATTGACCAGGAATAAAAATGGAGTAATTGAATTGAGGCAGAAATGATTGACAAGGAGCAAAGAGCAGCGTGGAGATGGACACACCTCAGTCCTCCAGCCACTTGGGAGCCTAGAGAAAGCAATTCAACTATTGGTGACAATGTGCCACAAAGATGGGGCGTTATTGCTAGACCTTGTTTACCTTCAGTGTCTTGAAATTAAGCACTGGAATACCAGCAGCTAAAATGCAGCTCATGTTGCAACGAAGTTGACCACCTCAGTTCCAGAATTTTCTTTTCTCGACTATGGATCACGCTGGCTTTATTCATAATGTCCATCATGCTGGGGTGGGGATTGGTGCAGTGTCCTACGAAACATGCTTTGTTTTCAAAAGAATGTATTAGTCTGGGGGCCACTTTAAACATCGCCTGAGTTAAGTATAGTTATGGCACTACACTTTAAGCCATTCTGATAATGGTAGCGCCTTCTGCCCTTATGTTTAGAGCAGCATTTGTGCCACATTTGCTAGATTAGGAAACTGAATTATGACACCACCATCCAAGCGTGCAACACAGTCTACCTTCAGCGCATCAGTGGAAGCTTCTGGTGTTACTGGAATGGTTCAGGAAAGCCACAGAGCAGAGGAAACCACACTTCTCAGACCTCAAGATTATTCCCTTGTTTGAAGAACGCAGCCAACAATCTGTAATATCCACTCTTACAAGTAAACATCACATTTTAAAAAATGTAGGGGCATTTTAACATGTAACTTTGAGGTGGATTTCCATGGGGAAATCATAAAACAGCTGTTGAATTTTAAGCTTAGCTGAGGGAAAGATATACCTCATTTGAAAAGTGGTTGAAAAGGAGACATTAATCAACAAATGTGTCTGGTGTTACGAGTGGGCTTTTGAATCCCAGTGGCTAATTTTTGTCGGTGTGTGTGGAAAGATGTTCCCCCCGCCACTTCAGAGTCACTCCATTCGACAACTGTTGTGTACAAGAAGGTTAACTGGGGGATTAACTGCAGTTTTCTGTTGTATTTTGGGTCTTGTGGGCCATTTCAGGTCTAGTGTGGAAGTCGAACATTCCCAGATCTTAATTACCTTAGCACATCAGGGGCATGTGCTAAGAAGACATTCCCAAGCAAATTTCGGTGCCACATCACCTAGTAAAATAGTTTGGGCTTCAGAAATGTATTGTTTAGGTTTGCCTTAAGTAGGCTTGAGCAAAACTTGGTCATTCTGTGGGAAAGTGCCAAAACAGCAGTGCTTAACCAGGCTTCAGCACCACTGAATTTCTGGCAAATACTAGTTGAGATGAGTTTTCTAAGTGTACCTTCATTCTTCAGTGCAACTTTCTAGGTAGCTCTGACTTCTGTAAGGAGGAGCACAACTTGACACGAGTTTTCCCTCTCAAGGCCAAAATGAAGGGGTTTTTTTTGCACCTGTTAAAGTAGATCTTTGCCAGCAATGGGAGATTGACTCTTTCCTGATGTCAGCCTAAACATGGGTGGCGTTTAGTCATTCTTGTTTTTCAGGCTATTTGCTAAAAATGCTCAGCAACATCGCACTGGAGCGTCTGAGGCGAAACACTTGCTGCGGTTGTCTGAGAACTTTTAAGAGCAAATATAATTTTTTTAAAATCATTTTTTGCTATGCAGGACATTTCAATACAGACACTGCAGCCAGACAAAGATATTTTGGCTGGTGGAGTGTCTTGACAAGATCCTGTTGTGGTAGTATCGGCGGAAGACTTCTGCCAGCTTTTCTGGGAAGAGGGCGAGGTTTTGCTCTGTGAGGCACAAAAAAATCAATCAAGCTATTCCTCTTAAAACTGCTGGAGAATTGCCCTTGGAATCAGTCACGTTTTCTATTCCTAGGTTCTATGACAGGAAAAGCTGTTTCCTGGATATGCACCGCAGTGCTGCCAAAGAAAACGTGTGCTGTTTTTAATTCCTCAAAAGATTCTCTTCTCTTTGACCCATCTTTGATTCACTTCTGGAAGGCCAAAAAAAGGGGTGTTTGGTGTAACATGGGTGGTGATTGTTCAGCAAGGGGCATGGGGCGGCGGCTATACTTATAGCTTATCTGTTAATTCTCCATATTACAGCACAGACTTCTTTTTTTACAAGAAAAAAGAAAAAAAGAAGAAAAAATATTCTCACCAAGACAAAAACCTGAGAATAAAAGTAATATTACAATTTGAGTTTTCTCTGACTATTTATTGACAGAACTGTAATTTGTATTTTTGCCTGTGCAGGCCACTAATAAATACGTTGAAGCAGGCTTCTTTTCCCCCGCTTTCCAAATTTGCATTGCAAAATGTGAACAGCAGTACTTTTTATTTATTAAGGAAGGTTTACAGATGGCTTAATTGTAAAACTCTTAGGCAGTGTGCACAATAAAAAAATGACCGGTACCATAATACCTTTACTGGGGGATTAATTTAAAAGCCATAGTAGTAAGCAAGCTTTTGACTTCAAGCTGAAATCTTGTTTTGGCTGCACGTTAACCAAAAGAAATGATGGGCATGACGCAAATTTTGCTGTTGGGATGCATGAGACGTTGTGGAGACTTGCACTAGTTTAGGTTGTGTAGCCTTATGAGGCTTTGCCCTCGGGTGGGAAAAAGTATTGCACTTGGGAGAGGGAGTGGGAGTCAACAGACACTCAGGGAATAGTTTCGGAGAAAAAGCTTTATTTCTACCATCCATGAACTGGTAGAAGGAGCAAGTGTGATAGATTCACAAACAAGCACGGGTTCACAGCCATTTGCACAGAGTATATATTCCCCTTCCAGTTCCCTCCCCTTTCTCCTCTTCAGGAGTCCTGCCCCATGTGTTTCCTGAGCATGAACAGAAAGCTCCTGTCTTTGGGGCGGGGGAGAAGCCAATGGGGTCAAGGAGTCTCGCGGTTCAGCATGTCCAAGATGTTGCAACTAGAGTGAGATAAGACTCAGTTCTCAGCATGCTTTGACAGAGCCTATCCATTAACCTTTTTGAAGCCTTCTTGTACTGATAAAAGTAACGGTTTGCCTTTCCCACAGCATCTTGTGAGAAAACAGAGGAAAACTTTAGCTGTGGATTTTTAGAAGAGAGAAAAGGAATTTTTGACAGTTTGAGGCCTGGGTGGGGGGGGTGTGTGTGACTTCAGGCCTAGGTGGGGTCACCTGTCCTCACCTCCTTCAGTTGTACTCTGTGCAGAAAGATCACAGATTGCAGCACAATTCCTGCCAGGGCAAAGAAGCAATGGCTGAAATTCCCTTTGAAAATACAAAAACCAGCAGTGATTCAGATGTCTCTCTAGGAATGAATACACATATGGAGAATGTAATTTTGTAGGAAGCGGTCGCTACTGAACTTTAGAGTAGATAAAGGTAAAGGTAAAGGTACCCCTGCCCGTACGGGCCAGTCTTGCCAGACTCTGGGGTTGTGCGCCCATCTCACTCAAGAGGCCGGGGGCCAGCGCTGTCCGGAGACACTTCCGGGTCACGTGGCCAGCGTGACATCGCTGCTCTGGCGAGCCAGAGCCGCACACGGAAACGCCGTTTACCTTCCCGCTAGAAAGCGGTCCCTATTTATCTACTTGCACCCGGGGGTGCTTTCAAACTGCTAGGTTGGCAGGCGCTGGGACCAAGCAACGGGAGCGCACCCCGCCGCGGGGATTCGAACCGCCAACCTTTCGATAGGCAAGCCCTAGGCGCTGAGGCTTTTATCCACAGCGCCACCCGCGTCCCTTTAGAGTAGATAGCTGCCCTTTAATTGCATCCTAGAGATCAGGGTTTCCCTTGTTGCCTACAGGAAGTGATGGGACAAATCCAGAACGGAAAAATTAATTTTGTGGAGGCAAACATCCACATTACAAAATGTGGTTTTCAAGAGACTTCCACCTGTAAATCTGAGGAGAATGACCGCTGCATAATGAGAGACAGTTTGGATTTTCCTAATGTTGGAGAAATGCCCTGCTACTACTGTTTTTGGCTTGCATAAATGTGAATCCCAATCGCAGGGCTGTTGCCTGCATCCCTTCCATGAGATTCCCAAATACCATCATATGCCCTCCAGATTTTTTGTGATCAGAGCCTTATGCAGACAACCCTGTCGGTTTGGACAGGAAAGGTGGAATTAAATTCCCTACGTTGCAAATCTTCTACAAACTGATGAAAAACATGACCCCAAGCAATACTAACATACATTTTTAAAAGAAGCATCTAGTGGGAAAGCTGTTATATTTACGGGTTATAAATTGACAGTGAGATAAAAAACAAGCAAGCAGGGTTTTTCTGCATTACACAGCAAAGCGTATAAAGTTGCTACACTCTTAATGTTACCCCAAGTTTCTAAAATACAAGCTTTTTGTGTTTTATGAACTGATTATACCTTTGCACCTCAAGAGGAAATCTCTGATTCCACACCAGCCAATAACTGCTAAAATCTCTTCAACTATTTGAGGTCATTTTAGCAAATGACATTGGCAATCATGGTTGCCTTGGCAAAGTAAAAACCTGTTGCTAGAGAAACCAGACATGTCATTGTTCACCTGGTTTTATCTCTTTGTAATCTAGACTCCTGTCCACGAACAGCATTTTTATCACTGTTTATATTTCTCTCTCTCACTGCTGAAGTCGGCGGTTCGAATCCCCTGCGACGGGGTGAGCTCCCGTTGCTCGGTCCCTGCTCCTGCCAACCTAGCAGTTCGAAAGCACGTCAAAGGGCAAGTAGATAAATAGGTACCGCTCTGGCGGGAAGGTAAACGGCGTTTCCATGCGCTGCTCTGGTTCTCCAGAAGCGGCTTAGTCATGCTGGCCACATGACCCGGAAGCTGTACACCGGCTCCCTTGGTCAGTAAAGCGAGATGAGCGACCAGAGTCGGTCACGACTGGACCTAATGGTCAGGGGTCCCTTTACCTTTTAATCTATTCTAGACTCCTGTCCGTCAATGGCATTTTTATCACTGTTTATACTTCTCTTTCTCACTGCTGAAGAGGTTACCAGCTAGAATTGATGTTTCAAGAGAACAGACAAGTTCATGGATGAGAAGGCTAACAATGGTTACCAGCCATGATGGCTATGTTCTGCCCCCACCGTTAAATGCTGTTGCACTCAGGTCCTGACTTGCCAGAGGCATTTGGTTGACCCCATAAGAACAGAGTGCTGTACAATATAGGTCCATTTGTTGTTGTTTAGTCGTTTAGTCGTGTCCAACTCTTTGTGACCCCCATAGACCAGAGCACACCAGGCCCTCCTGTCTTCCACTGCCTCCCGGAGTTTGGTCAAACTCATGCTGGTAGTTTTGAGAACACTGTCCAACCATCTCGTCCTCTGTCGTCCCCTTCTCCTTGTGCCCTCCATCTTTCCAACATCAGGGTCCTTTCCAGCGAGTCTTCTCTTCTCATGAGGTGGCCAAAGTATTGGAGTCTCAGCTTCACGATCTGTCCTTCCAGTGAGCACTCAGGGCTGATTTCCTTCAGAATGGATAGGTTTGATCTTCTTGCAGTCCATGGGACTCTCCATGGGAGTCTCCTCCAGCACCATAATTCAAAAGCATCAATTCTTCGGTGATCAACCTTCTGTATGGTCCAGCTCTCACTTCCATACATCACCTTGACCCAACTGCAAGGCTCTCTCCATGTTCTTATGAGAGTTCTGGGGCCCAATCAACAAATTTCTTGCTGAGCAGCAATTTCCCCTCCCCACAGCAAACCCACCCAGAAAAATTCTGGCATTTTCCAGAAGGCCTGGAAGAGCAGTTAAGACTGAGAGATGCTGCAGGCAGAGAACGACTGAGCCTGAGCCACAAACCATGAATCAGAAAGTCCCCATTTCTTTCATGACCTCCCTAGGTGACTTTAGGCAAACCATTCCCCCTCAGCCCAACCCCGCTTGCCAAAACGCACAGTCACTCGGCTTTTTGCTCAGATACTGGAAGGGAGTCAAGTTATGAGGCAGGTGGTGCTTTTCTCAAAAGGAAAATAATTGGATTGCTCCAGTAAGCTTGCACATTAAACGCTGAAATAATTCTGCTCCTGAAGGAAAGGAGCACAGGGCAGCGCATGTAAATACCCTGCTGGGAATGTTTTGAGGAGGTTCTTAATACGTTCTACAAGGAAAAGAAAACATGAGATGACATGCACTCGCAGCATTTTTCTAACATTTCTGTCAGCCAAAACAGTTCTTGCCTTACTTTTTGCAGCAGGTATGCATATTCCAAGTTTGGCAGGACACTGGTGTTAAGTTGTGGTGGACATATCAGACGACACAGCGATTCTTCAAACAGCTCTTGTTTATTCTCAGGCCAGAACAGAACTGAAGGGTTCAGCCAGCCTGCTTATATAGAGCTCCACTACAACGCAACTAGGGCTTGCCGATCGAAAGGTCGGTGGTTCGAATCCCCGCGGCAGGGTGCGCTCCCGTTGCTCGGTCCCAGCGCCTGCCAACCTAGCAGTTCGAAAGCACCCCCGGGTGCAAGTAGATAAATAGGGACCGCTTACTGGCGGGAAGGTAAACAGCGTTTCCGTGTGCTGCGCTGGCTCACCAGATGCAGCTTTGTCACGCTGGCCACGTGACCCGGAAGTGTCTCCGGACAGCGCTGGCCCCCGGCCTCTTAAGTGAGATGGGCGCACAACCCTAGAGTCTGTCAAGACTGGCCCGTACGGGCAGGGGTACCTTTACCTTTACTACAACGCAACTGTAACCATTTTCTGTAACTAGCCAATCACTGAACGTCACTTTCGATCCCTTATTTGCATATGTGGACCTGAACTATCTACATTATCCCCCTGCTGGCCCAGGGTGAGAACTTCAGTACATAACACCTGGCAACTAGATAGTGGCGGTAGTGGTGAAACAAATGGTTATTTCCCCTTGTCTTTTCAGGACAACTGACAGTTGTAGCAGTGTTGTTCCTAGAAGGGTGGGGAAAGTTGGTTCCTGCAGCTGTGGGTTTTCCAAAGCCAGGATACATTCACATGCATAAAGGTTACCTAAAGCCTTCCACTCACCTACTGCTGTAATGGTGATGTAGTAAACATTTTCCAGTGGAAGCTTAATATCTTATCAGGTGATGGATGATTAGCCTTCTCCCTTTCCCACTGGCAAGTTTGGGAAGGGGGTTTATTCCAACACACAATTCCCCTCGTGGGCACCTCTGCCGCCTACATGCTACACAGAACAGGATTTGATTCTGCTTGCATAAACTGGCTCTAATA